GCCGCTGGGTGCAGGCAGTGAGAGCTTGTACAGGAACGAGTCCCCTGTCCCTGTGGGCCATAAGACACTGAGTTCTCTGGGACTCCAGTCTTGTCCGAGGCCCATCAAGGGGCCTCCTCTCAGGTCTCCACCAGGATCTCCACCACGTGGTCCACCTCAGCCAGGTCGGACTTGCAGGTGGAGCCAGGAGGAGGGGCAGCTGCAGCAAAGCCCTCCAGCCCATCACAGAGGCCTGGCTTGGCACTGGTCATCATTCCTGTCAGCACAGTGTCCAGGTCATAGTAGGAACTGTCCATGTCTGAGAACAGGTCTTCCATGGAGCTGTGGTTTTTATGCTCCAGAGTCTCAAATATCTGATCCAGCGACTTCTGAAAGCTCCCCCTGCTTTCTCGAGGACTGTCCATTTCCCAAGGGTTGCTCTGAGGGCTCCTGGGCACCTCTGCTGCGTCAACTGTGCAAATTTCAGGCAGTGGGCCTTGCAAGGGGCCATCCCCCAGGTCAGGAACAGGGCACCCAGCTTCCGGTCCCCTCACTGTACGACACAGGATCTCTGTGGATACCAGGCGGTCGAGTGGGGCCCGCCCAGTGCTCTGGGGTGCTGCCCCCTGCCCCACACCATCCCGGGTCATCTCCTCCTGAATCTGCCGGACGGTGTTGGCGATGAGGACCGAGCGGCAGAGGTTAGGCTCCACCAGCATGTGGCAGAGCTGGAGCTTGACTAGAGACATGTCCAGGAGCGACTGCCGCTGCAGGCTATAGGAAGGGATGGTGCCAAAGCCGGCCAGGGCACCCTCCCCGTCATCCTCCTGGTCCACACATTTCCTCTTCAGTCCTCGTGCAAACATTGTGCCCTGTGAAAACCAAGGAAGATCCATGTAGCACACTTCCAAAGCCCTCACAGACGGCAACCCAGGACAGTCTCCAACCCTCAAAGAAAGAAGGGGCAATAGTGCTCATGGGGCCAACACTGGTCCAGAGGCAGTCCTGCACCTGTATGTCACAAATGACAAAGCTCTAAGCTACAGCTCAACTTCTTCCATCAACAGATAAATGGATAGAAACAGGAGAAAGCTACCCTGAAAATCCTACCCCAAGAATCTCAGCTTTGGGTCTATGGGAGAGGATGGACCTGATAATGAGGCATCAAACACACCACTGCAGAGGGGCCAGTGCTAGGGTCTGCAGGACCACCCCCCAGCCAGCAGCAAAGCTATCCCTACATTTGGTCCTGCCCCCCTAGATGCTTACTAACAAAATCCTGTTGCTTATGGCACACCAAAAAGCTGCATCCCAGAAAGGTGCCTGGAGCAAAATGCAGCTGCGCTCCCACACCAGTAGCGTTGGGCCACCAGGTGAGTCCAATGCTCACAATGGTCCCCTGCACTCCCCAGGGACCCCGTATGGCATCCCCCAGGCCCAACGCAGCAGCCAAAAGCCCCAAGCTGTGCTGGGGCACAGCCTGGGCCTCAGAGCTGCAAAGTTGACTAGGACCAGGGCCAGGCAGCTTCTGACACCCAGCACGAACTCCAGCAAGGACTGCCTTCTAGAACACAAAGCTAAGCTAGGGTGCCTTAACATCCTCTCTTCTCGTGTTAGTAATGTAGCCAAACACTGTAATTTCAAATGAGTCATTCGAAACCGAGTGAACAAATTAATGCATTAAACATTTTAAACGTGCAAACTTCAGGCTTCTTTTTAGAAAGCTCCATCCAAAGGCTCCCTGTGCCAGGTACTTCTGGGTTGCTGGTGCATGGGGCATGTATTGTCCCTGCCCAAGAGGCAGGATGGAGCACAGGACAGTCTGCTGTATGAGAACTGGTCACCAACTCATGTCCCCAGGACCTCCCCGGTGGGCTTGCCCACACAACGCTGGGACAGGAAACCAAGGCCTGCCTTTCTTCTGAATTTCCCTTCAACGTCATAGATCTCACCTCCTGCGCACACAACCCTCTTACCTTTTATTTAGTGACTTCTTGGGCATTTATCCCAAAGAAATGAATGCCAAGGTTCACGTGAAAACAAGTATAAGAATGTTCAACATACTCCATGTGCAACAGCCCCAAACTGTAAACAATTCTTTCCAGCTGGGAAGGAAATGTCAGTCTCCAGAGCCACATGCCATGTAATGCCATTCACGGGACAGTTGTGGGATGGCAAGGTGAGGGTGAGGGGCAGGCCATAAAAGGCACCCTGCAGTAAGAAACTCTGAGCCTGGACAAAGGTGCCAGACCTCATATAATCCTACACTGAGCTCCTGTACCAATTGTGTGTCTGCAGACACCAGACTGCCACACCGCAGGTGGATGGCACCCAAGGCCTCTGACATTGCTCAGCCATCTGAATGTGGGGCTGTATTTCAAAATAAAACTTAAAAGACAGATTCAATGACCAGTTTATTTCCTCTACAAGTCTAATTCCCCAGAATGGTAAGTGTGCATTACTGTCCACAGAGCCACACACCAGCTGAAATATCACCTAATTTGAAATAGAAGGAGTTGATCAAAAAAGTACATAAAAGGTATTTCAATCACTTCTGGCAATACAGTACTCAAGTTCTTTGTCTTAGTGCAAATTTAACTTCTACAGAGGTTTAAAAATATGTGTAGTGGGGCATGGTGGCACACGCCTGTAATCCCAGCACTTGGGAGGATCGCTGTGAGTTGGAGACCAGCCTGGGCTACAATGTGAGGTCCAGGCCAGCATGAACTGCATAACGAGACCCTGTCTCCGAAAGACAAAAATAAAAAAATAAAAAATATGTTTAAAAGTCACTGGTGAAAATTTCTAAGTTTACTGAGAATTAATATAAGATTATGTCCAACTATAGAAAGAGACCCTAGTTGAAGAAAGAATTAAGCCCCAAAAGTTCCTCTGTGGCAAGTTCTTCTACCTCTTTGGCTATCTCTCTTCAACCATATCCAAAATTTCAACTACGCAAGATTTAATGCAGCATTCACACCAAATTCACTCAGATGATATAAATTAAGCCCTAGATTACAGCCAGAACTCCTGGCTGCCCTCCCTGACTCTGGAAATCTGGTGATGACCCGTCACTGAGTGGGTTGGTCCATGGGAGATCAGCATGGTTGAACAGGGACGGTCACTAAATGTACAATAGGATGAGCCAGATACTAGCACCTCACATTTGAGAAAGCTCAAGAAATTACACTGAGCACTAATGCCCTTGGTGCCCCTGGGTCCCCTTCCCAGAAGGATCCTTAGAAATCTCTGGTCCTGAGTCCCTGCGGGGGGTGGGCATAAAAGACCCTAGCATGCTGTCAGCCATGGGCCTTTAGCAGCCTGGTCTGGGGATTTGAAGAGGCTACAGAAGTGCTCAGCCACAGCTGGCTTGCCCTGCAGGCAGCACTGGGATTTCATCACCAGAGACAAGTCCAGAAGCACCTCATCAGGGTCTGCCCTACAGCTTGAACGTAAACATGGACAGGGAAATGGAACTGTGACCCAGGACAGGTAGGGAACTGGAACGCACTTAGGCTGGCCCAGCCTGACCTGGACAAGCTGCCTGGGGATATCCATATGCTTGGCTTAAGGGTACCAAACTCTTTTAGTTCTGAGGTGACAAAACAACCTATGCCTTTGTGGCTGCAGAGTCTGGCTTACTGTTAAAGGGCTTTTTTCTACCCACAGCCAGGTCTTTCCCATCATGTGAAGTGCCTAAAACCCACCAACTGGTGTCCATGGGACAGCCAAGGCCAGCAGTCAATGTATGATCCTGTGCAGGCCTCCTCTAGACCAAACACTGGCTGGAGGAGGGGTCAGGTGGACAGAGAGGCTGACATGGCAAGGGACAGCACAGGCCTGCGGTGAGCAAGGTGGTTTGACAGTGACTGCACACAATAGGCATTCCAGGATAAAGGCACTCGAATCTAATGGCCAGCTGTTCATTTGCATGTCTCTGCGGCCAGCTGAAAATGCAAGGCCCCAGAGTCTGACCAAAAGGTCTGGGGCTGGTAGGGACAGTTTTGTCTCTGACCTGACCTGCCACCATCATCGCTGTCCTGATGGCCACTGCCAGGGCCCACTCTCCTGGGCGCTGGGATTTTAAGGTGAATCAACATTAACCACTTCTGCTTCTATCACACAGTGCAATTTACTCTCAAACACTCATGCTAGAGCAGGATCAAGCCCCTGCGCCTCTAGGCTCAGGATGGTCCTGTGGGAATCCACCGTTCCACCTTCCTCTGCTGAAGATCGTCCAAGTGCCTTACTAAAAGGTTGATTCCAGCTACCTCTGATCCTCTGAAGGATCACCTGCCAGTAGCAACTTAAAGAATAACTTCTGGCCCCTTTCCAGGAAGCATAAAGAAAGGTCAGTCGACTCTACTTGAATTTCACTCTAACTATAAACACCATGACTGTAAGGGTCGAGAATCTCGCCGCGTGAAGGAAGACTCCAAGAGACGCTCTCTCATGCAATAAGCAAGGGGAGTTTATTTACCAGGCATGC